GAGATCCACGTTTGGGCTTGGCAAAACAAAGAGAGTTCCGCATTTGGGAAACATCAAAGAGAGTTCTGCGTCTGGTAAAGTCCTTGCACTGAGAATCCCATTGATACAAGGCGTCTGGCGAATCAAGATAATCGCTGAGGAGAGGACACGAAGTTCGTGATCCTTGTCTTGAGGGGAGGATTGTTATGGAACAATCAAAGTACCACATCAGAAATAAAAGGGAAGGAATCCTTGTATATAAGTGTCCACCTAGCCCAATTAGTACGAGGCCTTTTGGGGAGGATACCCAAGAGTAAATCCGTGCGGGCTTGGCCCAAAGCAGACAATATCGTACTAATTGAGCACCACAGTTATGACAAGTGGTATAAGAGCCTGGTTCCGGTTTGGGGCAGTGAACGTCAGTTTGGTGGACCCTCATTCGGTGACCTCGGGATTTGAGATCTACGTATGGTTTGGTGGATCTAGGAGAGATCCACGTTTGGGCTAGGCGGATCAAAGAGAGTTCTGCGTCTGGTAAAGTCATTATACCGAGAATCCCATCAATACAAGGCGTCTAGCGGATCAAGATAATCACTAAGGAGAGAACACGAAGTTCGTGGTCCTTGTCTTGAGGGGAGGATTGTTATGGGAAAATCCAAGTACCACATCGGAAATACAAGGGAAGGAACCCTTGTATATAAGTGTCCACCTAGTCCAATTGGTACAAGGCCTTTTGGGGAGGATACCCAAGAGTAAATCCGTGCGGGCTTGTCCCAAAGCGGACAATATCGTACTAATTGAGCACCCTGGATTAATTGGTCCAATTAGGTTAGATACTCATGGATTTGGGTTCAATTGTCTTTCTCAAACAAAAGGAAAAGGCAAAATGAAAAACACTAAAGCTAAAACTCGCAACCGACTCAAAACTCGTCAACACCAGGTTCAACTTGCTTTGACCTGGTTGAACCAAGTTTTGGGAAAATTCACACCTTACAAAAACATATAAAACTCACTCATGCCGAAAACCTGTAAAAGTGAATTCAAGTTGCTTTGGTTGGGACGAATTAGGTTGGATACCATGGTCCATGAAATCGTATCGTACCAGCGGTTCATCCACGAAATACCGGTATCGAAGGATAAATCAGTAGGCGGTATTTACTGGTCTAACGGTTGAACTACGCTTAAACCACGATGTTATCATAAAATATCATACTATTGACTTTTCGAATACGATATACGGTACGGTTTCATAGACCATGTTGAATACCCATATGTTTGGACTCAATTGTCATTCTCAACCAAAAGGAAAAGGATAAAAAAATACTAAAGCGGATAAAACTCACTCACGACCCCAAACTCTCAACTCGCTTTGACCGGGGTCGACCCAATTTTAACAAATTCACAATTTACCCAACCCGTCAATGACAAAAGCGGATAAAACTCGCTCTAGATATGAAACGCGCCAACATTGGGTCAGAGTTCAATTTTCATTCTCAACAAAAAGGAAAATGAGAAATAAAAATAATATTAAAGCGTACAAAACTCACTTTCGATCTAAAACTAGTCAACAACGTGTTCAACTACTTTTGAGCAATTTTTTAACAAATTTACCCAACTTGTCAACGACCTTTGACCAATTTTTTAATATTTTTTTAACAAATTAGACAGAGTATATCTAGTATGGATCTTTGGTCGCGGCCATGGCAAATGGTGGAAGAGGACAACTCATGATTACATCGACAGTATTTTGAGTTGGGTTGCGAAATGGTGTGAAAAGTCGATGATTTGGGTTCAAGTTAAGATACCCATGTGTTTGGGTTCAATTTTGATCATGCTCAACAAAAAAGGAAAAAGAGAAAGAAAAAAAAAATACTTAGGATAAAACTCGATCCCAATATAAAACTTGTGGTAGCGGCCTTGGTAAACGGTGGTGGGAAACAACTTAGGATTCCCCAGACAGTATTTGGAGATGGGCTCCGAAATGGTGGCAAAGGTGATGATTTGTGCAAAAAACCATAGATGAAAACCTAGTGGATAGTTGCTGTAATAGGGAGTTGAAAACCTAGTAGGAAATAATTGTTACGGGAAACACAATGGACAATAGTTGTAAACCTAGCAAACAACAGCTTAACGCAAAGGTTGTAGAATGGAGAGTGGGATAAAAGAATGACTTGGATCTTCCCCACTTGCAGTTGTAGGAGTGTGAGAGACACTAATGAACAGTAACTTCAATGTTAGGCTTATATATTTATATTTATTAATAATGTGATCATGCTCAACAAAAAAAAAAAAGAAAAAAAAAACACTTAGGATGAAACTCGATCTCGATACAAAACTCGTGGTAGCGGTCTTGAGAAACGTTGATGGGGAATAACTTAGATTGCCTCCCTGCGATTGGCCTTCACCCAAGGTGCCCCACTTCCCCCTCTAACACAAAACTCACAACACCTTATTACTTAACTCGCGGGAGAATAAACACTGGTTTCTTGCTTTACCCGACGGCCAATCAGCCACAACTGTTGCCTACTCTTGTAATCTGACTCACGGAAGCTTTTCACACCCACGCACAAGACTTTTTTCTCCCAATCTCTCGCCTGCCATACTTTTCTTTCCCCATATTTTTTGAGCTCTTTCTTGCTGCCCTTTCCCAAATCACACGCAACCTCCCTTGCTCTTCTCTTTCTTTACTTTTCTTCCCACACATCAACACACAAAGCCTTCTTTCCTTCCCATAATTTCTCTTCTTTACATCTGCCTCTGACCAAACTCTCTCCACTCTCCCCTACATCCTTCTATCATCTCCCTCGCCTACCAAATGACATGGCAGTCCACCTCCAATTGTCAACCAAATCTCCTTCGGTTCTTCACTTCAGCCACCACTTCGCAGACCACCTCCGACCACTGTTGGAGGAATCCTAGGTTCCCAACGACTCGCAAGCCAATCCGACCACTGTCGGCAGAATCTTAGATTTTCATCCCTTCTTCGCTTTGCAGCCATGTCATGTACCCCCTCGAGTCGGAAACAAAATGTCGACCACTAATGATCGCTTTGCAGTTCACCATTCCTTCATCGACAGTTCATCTCCAGGTTTCCACCTCTCTCTCTCCCAATGTTGAAGAATAAGATGAAGAAAAAAAAAAGTAAATGGGGAGTCCCATTACTAGAAACCACTATCAGTGGTATTCGAGCCTCCCTTCCCTTTCACATCTTTCGTTTTCCGACATACGAAAACTCCGGCACGACACCACTTATCTTATCGATGTCGCCCCATTAGGTCACAATATGTATGGATTTGAAGGAAGAAAATGAGAGGGTTCATATCCCATCCAGCAAGGGGCCACCTATTTGAATCCCAGCTTTCATAATCGAAGCCGAGCTCATACCATCTAGAAAGTTTGCCAATGGGGTACAGAGGGAGCGGCGATTATGGGACCAAGAGGAATCAGTGATTTGAGATGTCTCGAAATGGGTTTTCCATTCTTCTTTTTCGACTACAACTTGGGTAGATGGATAGAAATACAAAAGGAAAGGGATAAAAGAATTCTAAAGCAGATAAAACTCACTCACGACCCCAAACTCTCAACACTGCGTTCAACTCACTTTGACGGGAGTTGACCAATTTTAAAAAATTCACAATTTACCCAACCTGACAATTATAAAAGCTGATAAAACTCGCTCCAGATATGAAATGCGTCAACAATGGGTCAGAGTTCAATTGTCATTCTCAACGAAAAGGAAAATGAGAAATAAAAATAGCATTAAAGCATACGAAATTCGTTTTTATCTAAAATTGGTCAACAAAGGGCTCAATTGTGCCTTTTTTACCCCTGGTTTCCTTAGTTGTTTGAGGCATTTTTACTCTGTTAGGTTTGGTTTTACACTGGGTTTTCTCTCGATTTTGTGCATTTCAGTCTATAGCAGGTGGAACCAACCCCAGAGTCAAAAGTTGGACGTAAAGGCAAAAAATTGGGTCAAAGGATGGAGGCAATAGTATATCACGGTGGAAGCCTTTAGTTCACGATCATGGCAACCGTGAACTAGAGCCGCAAACGTAAACAACCTGGTGTCCAGGGACATTTTTTCTTTCGCTGAACTCAAGCTAGTTCTCGGTCGTAAGACCGTGAACCCAAACCGCAGACCGTGAACTGGATTGTTGAGACGACGTGTTTTGGCCTAGGATCACGGTCCACGCCTTGAGTTCACGACCGTGAACTGGGACGTGATGTGAGCCCGACCTGGGTATAGAAAGGGGTTTGAGCTGAAGGAGAAAGGGAGAGAGACCTAGTGTGAGAAACTTCTTCTTCTTCTTCTTCAGATTTCTAGAGTGAGAAACTGACCAACCAAAGGAGAGAAGAAGCTAGGGTTTCATCTTCAAGCAAGGTTTTGGGAATTTCTTCCCCAAAGGAGGATCTCTTCAACACAAGGAGCAATGCTCGCATCTCCATGATGGTTTACCCTCTTCTCTCTTGTGTTTTCCCTTCTCCTAGCATGAAGTAGTCCTTTATTTCACTTGGGTGTTTGTAAACCCTAGCTACAATTATGTGAATGTTTCTATGGATTGAATGATTTATGTGTGGATGTGTTTTAATTTGACTTTGGAGGTATTTTCATGGAAGATTGTGTTGTGTGTGTGTCTATCAATCTAATTGTCATTCTAACCTAGGTAGAGAGAAAACCCTATTTATTTGAAAGAGGCTTGTAAAGCTGGGTTTTCTTAAGCAAATCTTGTCTCCTGTCTAGGTTAATGTAGGAAAACCCTCTTTATTCATATTAGCACCTAGGGTAGGTTGTAATTTGGTCGTCCGAATTATGATTCGAGGGTGAAGTCTTGCAACCCTTAGTCAATAGGTCAAAAGAGCTACTTTGGTGGCTTGAATCTAGTTCCCTTGACCTAGAGACCGACAGAGTCATAATTGCTAGCTAGGGGGAGCAACACTCGGGTGAAGCCTTCTCAATTAGTGTCACAAAAAATCAATCACTAAATAATGTTATAAACAATTGAACTAAGAGTATATGGACCGGTCCGGGTTGACAGTTAAACATACTTGCCCTATATTGCACCCAATTGAGATTTGTACTTAAGCCTTAATTGGGATTTTTATTGTGATATTCGGGACGAGTCCAGTTTTTGGCGCCGTTGCCGGGGAATCAAACGGTTCATTATTTTGAAAAGATTGTTTGGTGTTAATCTAGCTTTTACTTTTCGCTTTTGTGTTTGTGAATCTTGCTTGTGTTAGACGAGTTGTAGTTCTTTTGAGTGTGTGTAGGGAGGTGTATGACCCGGAGTAATCTGACACATTTCTCGCCACTGGACGAGAATCCCAACCGCACTCTCCGACTCTTGGCTCGTGGGAGAGAACTGGAGGAGGCAAGAAGAAGGATAGAAGAAGGGGAACAACCACAAGTTGGTCCCAAAGAAGAAATTGTAGTTGAGGAAGATTTTGATTCCGAGGAGGAAGGAAGTGTAGCTAATATGGCGGCTAATCAACATGATCCAGGTGGATCATCCGTGGAAGAGCAAGCGAGGACTATGGGCTACTATATAGCCCCACGGGTGGCTGATATTCAACTCACCATTCGACATCCGGCCGTGGCCGCCAACAATTTCGAGATCAAACCCGCCCTCGTCACCATGATCCAAAACAATGCACTGTTTCATGGGCTTAGCAATGAGTTTCCAAGGGAGCATGTTCAGAAGTTCGTCAAACTTGCAGGGAGTTTGAAGATCAATGGTGTTCCCGAGGATGGTTTGAAGTTGAGGCTATGCCCCTACTCTCTTGCGGAGAATGCGTCTCGGTGGCTCAAAAATAGACCAATCCTGTCGATCACCTCGTGGGATGATATGCTCAATAAGTGGCATGTGTTGTACTATACATGGGAGATGGGCCGTGCTTGGGCTGGCCTTCAAAGACGGCGGAGTGGCGCAAGAAGATCACCCACTTTGAGTAAGAGGAAGATGAGACATTGAGTGATGCTTGGGAAAGGTACTCTGACTTCTTCCTCCAATGCCCACATCATTGATTCGAGGAGCAATTTTGGATTGAAACTTTCTATGGTGGTCTCCACCAAGACGGCAAGATCCTCATTGACTCTTTATGTCAAGGGAAATTGATGAACATGAATCCACCCCAAGTGATGCTCGAAGAGGCAAGAAAGGGTATGATTGGGGTTTGATGAGAAGTGGAATGAGAAGCACCGCAAGAGAAGTGCAAAGTGTAGGAGCGAGTCCTCCGCTTGAAGCTAAGATTGACCGCTTGATTGATGCACTCCTAGAGAACATGAAGCATGGGAAGAGGTCAGTAATGGCGTGTGATTAGTGTTCGAGTACCAACCACGATATTTTGGAGTTTCAAATGATGAAAGAATCAAGCACCCCCGAGGAGCAAGTGAGTTTCATTGCCAATGCTTGAGGGAACAACCTAGGGGTGGGCATTCGGTCGGTTCGGTTCAAACCGAACCCAACTAATGTATACCGGGTTTTCGAGTTCCATCAAACCTCAAACCAAATTCGAACCGAATTATAATTCGGTTTGGTTGGTTCAAACAGAATTATAATTCGGTTCGGTTTTGTATGAAAAACCGAACTTGTGAGGTTAGCTTGTATTTTTTCTCTTTTAAATTATTTTTCACCCCTAATGTAAACAATAAATATGCAATTAAATGCATCATCAATGATAAAATCAAACATTTCTACAGATAAGTCATTAAACACTAACATAATTCAAATATTTAAGTCTCATAATAAGTACAAACATAAAAATCCACCATTTGTAACTTGCAATTATAGTAATTCGGCAAATCAGTTCGGAATTTGAAAATTCAGTTCGGTCGTAAGGACCTTGGTTTCCGAAATATACCCTTTTCTCTTCCGAATTCCAAACCGAATTAATGTTATTCGGTTTCGATTTAGTTTGAATTCGGTTCGGTTCGGTTTTACCGAACCGTATGCCCACCCCTAGAACAACCCCTATAGCAACACTTACAACCCGGGGTGGAAAAATCATCCCAATTTCTCTTGGTCCTCTCCTACCAACCCAAGACCCCCCCGGTTTCCAAGGACCGATGGAAAATTATCAACCAAGGCCTACTTTCATGCAATAACGGCCACAATTCCAAGCCTCTAACTTCCAACAACCGTTCCAAGCTCAAGGTGGTCAATGGTTCCAACAACCCGATAAGTTGCAAAAATTGAGGATCTTATAACCACCTTCTTGAGCACGAGCACTCAAAATTTTGAGAAGATTGAGCAGTTTATGGATGTGGCAGCAACAAAGTTTACTTTGGATGATGCAGAATTAAGAAGCCATCAAGCAAGCCTTCAAAACTTTTAGGTGCAAATTGGTAATCTTGCCGGGATCTCACCGAGAGACCAAGGGGAGCCCTACCCTCTCAAACTATTGTCAATCCCAAAGATCAAAATGCCGGTTTCAATGCTATTCTTTTGAGGAGTGGGAAGGTTATCCCGGAGGTTGTTCCTAAAGAAGTGACCGAAGAAGAGAAGACTCCTTCAACGGACAATGATCAAGGAGAAGTGGGAGAAATAGAAGAAGAGCCTAAGAAGGCAATGCCGACGTCACCACAAGTGGCTGAGTACAAGCCTCCTCTTCCTTTCCCCACAAGGATGCACAATCACTGATTGGAGGCAGAATGCGGTGGATTCATGGAGATGCTCAAGAGGGCTTCTCTCCAAGAAGCCAAAATATGAAGACCTTGCCAATGTCACCTTAGGCGAGGAGTGCTCCGCCTTCATCCTCAACAAGTTGCCTAAAAAGCAACCGCATCCAAGTAGTTTTACTATACCTCTTTGCATCTGAAATCGTCATATAGAAAACTCCTTGGAGGACTTAGGAGCAAGCATTAATGTGATGCCTTACAAGCTTTTTAGGAAGTTGCATTTGGATGAATTAAAGACCACTAGGCTTAGTGTCACATTCGTCGATTGTTCTATCATTAGTCCTAGAGGTATTGTGGAGGATGTCCTAGTGAGAGTTGGAAATTTCTTTTATCCGGCGGATTTTTTTATCCTTGATATTAGTGAAGATGAGGATATGTCACTTCATACTAGGGCGCTCCTTTCTTGCCACCTCCAAGGCCTTAATCAATGTTAATGAGGGAACTCTGGTTTTGAGAGATGGAGAGGAGCAACTCACTCTTTCAATTGATCCTAAGGGTAAGAATGATGTTCTAAAGGAAATGTACTCGAGTGGTATGATTGGAAGTGGAGGTGAACCTCTCAAGGAAACCCCGCTAGTGGTTGTGTTCCATTTGATAATGAGGTGCAGGAAACCAAGGCGACTACTAAGCCCGAAGGAATGAAGAAGAGAGCATGGAGGGATAAGCTGAACCGAGCTTATTCCCAACCAAAAGATAAGGGTAAGGCGAAAGTGTCGGGCCAAGAAGGCTACCCTATGGAGTTTAAGTTGGAAGGTGACAAACCTTGCCCCGAGAATGTGGTTGGTCCACTCTCAGTGGCTTCGTACCCTCAAGCATGATAGATCCGCATAGTCGAGCTAGTGACGTTAAACTAGCACTTTTTGAGAGGCAACCCAAAATTTCCATTTTGTGTCTGTGTAAAAAGTTCAATTGTTAGAATGGGTATCACTGTGCCAGATCTGTGTGTTTGAGTGTTTCGGGATGTGTTGTGATTGAATTAGGCACACAGATAAGTAAATCGAGTCAAAAAATTAGGAAATTTCATGTTTTAACTCAGTTCACGGTTTTTGCTTCTAGTTCACGGTCTTAGCGACCGTGAGAAAGGCTAGAGACCGTGAACGAGGGCAAGTCCAGCAGTCTTTGAAATTCACCGTTTTACCATAGTTCACGGTCTAGGATTTATGTTCACGATCTTAGCGACCGTGAACTAGTCCCTCTATCTGTGAACTGCGGGATCTGCCTATAAAAGGGGCATGAACCCCTCATCTTCACTTCACGACCGCCCCTTCATCGGAATCCTCTGAACTTCGTAGTAAAATAGCGATTTTTCATTGTTTTTCATCGATTTCAGCAACTTCCGGCCACCCAACACCAAACACATACCCAGTCTTCTCACATCAGGGAGCACCTTCGCCAAAGTCTTGAGGAGGTTTGGTCCGTTTTTTTTAAGGAGATTTCTTGCGAGCCTCCGACGAGCTTTCGACAAGGCTCCGACGACCTCCCTCCAACCATTTTTTTGTGAACTTTTTGACTCCCTCTCCCTCTCCTCACTTCGCCCTCGATCCTACTTGAGTCTCCAGGATGGTTAACACGAATCACGCGTATGTTCACTGCCTGGTGAACCATGAGAAGTATGGTGCAAAATTCCAACAGTGGAGGTACAGTGAGGCGGTGCCTCAATGGGTGTTGGAGTTGAACATGCTCAACATGTTCAAGTATTGGGAAGCGATGTCAGGGGTGCTCAGTCATCCCCAGTGGTGTCGCCTCCTGGCGATTGACGAGCTCATCTATCGCGAGCTCTGCATGGAATTCTACACCACTTTCTCCCATGTCATTCCAGGGAGCAAGCAGAGTCGCTCGTACGTGCAGTTCATGTTGGGGGTGAGTAGTGTGTACTATCTTACGACGGCTTTTCCCAAGCCATAGGGCTCGACCCCACAAACATGACAATGATGGAGAGAGTACATCGCAGACTTCCACTACCAGGCAGCCTTCCAAGCCATCTGTCGCCCAGAGCACCACGGCGACGAGTTCAAGGGCTCTAACACAAATGAAGTGAAACTGCGAACGCCGTGGAGGATCCTGCACACACTCCTGACAAAGTCCATCATCCCTAGCCTGATGTCGGGCCACATGATCACGAATAGAGGGTTGATAGCCCTTCATATACTTAAGTTTTAACCGTCAAAAAGAGACACTCCATCTGGAATCAGTGGTGCCACCACCTTCGCTAGATGCCAGGGGCGGGATCAAGTTTATATGATGCATCTTGGGGGCATCATCACGAGGATAGCCCGCCACTTCAGGGTTGATGTGACAAGGTGCTCCATCATTGGCCGGACTGAGCCATTCTCGGCGGATACTCTCCACAACATGAAGTTGTTGCTCAAGGGAGAGCGAGGGGCTAAGTTCCTCGAGGGACTACGACCTTCGACCGCTCTTAGGCAACATGTCGACCCTGCTCCAGTGGAGCTGAATGCAGAGGTTTCTCTTCCAGAGCAGCCACCCACCAGAGCTCCAGGCCATAGCTGGCGCACCGCACCACCATCATCAGCAGTAGCATCATCATCCAAAGCCGGACCTTCCTCCTCTAGAGCCCACCTCGAGCAGCAAGTGGATCGCCTTGAGGAGCAGTTTGTGGGAGTCACCACTCGGCTTGACCAATCCACCAAGATCTTAGAGAGGATTGCTCGATGCTAGGGCGTCCTTTCAAACGACGAAGAGTGACTTTGGACCCACGACGAGGTAGCCGACGAGTGAGACATGTCGCAGAGCTGATTTCTTTCTCCCCACTCAAAACTCGAAACTCTGAACTCCGTTTATTTTTATTTTTGTTTTCTCTTTCTTTAGTGTGTGAACTAGTAATTTGTGAGTTTTTCATTCTTGTGAATCGTGATGTGAAACTTTGTAATGTGTAATAACCGCTCCTGGAGCGAGAATGTGCGTGTGTTTGTGTTCTGTTTTGTTTTCCCTTTGAAGCTCAAACATCCTACCCTGGGAAATTCTCCAACTTTCATTCACCAAACCATGTGGTAACATGTTCTACCCCCTATTTTATGCCATTGGGGCAATGTCGAGCTTAAGTGTGGGGGGGTAGTTTATTATTATGCTTGTATGTGTGATTGAATGCTTGGAGCCTTGATGTATGCCCAAATTTGAAAATTTTGAGGGATCCAAGCAATGCATGATCAAATGGCCGGTTGGTGGGTGAATCTCGTGCTTATTTGGGATTGATCTTGAATTGTTGCATGTGATCGATTGCATCCTATTATGATGACTGAGAGTGCAATAGGTTTGTGCAAAAGCTTAGTGCTCATGTGTGCTTAAATGAATGGGTGTCTTGACTTGGTTAATCCTTGATAACAATTGCCATGCATTCAAATTTTTGAATTGGAATAGATGATTGGGTGGCTAGGTAGCCATGTGAGTTTTGTAACATTCACTGTTCTCATTAGTGAGCATGATGGAGGCATAGGATTATTCCACGCCCAAAAGTTGATTGTCCCAAAACATTTT